AAAAAAAAAAAAAAAAAAAAAAAAAAAAAAAAAAAGAGAAGAAGAATAAAAAGAAGTGCAACGAGGAAATGTGTTTTGAAACACGCGAGCCAGAAGGCCAGAGAGAACAACTGAACGAGGGACGCAGACAGGACCGCAGTACCTTAATGGCCACCGGATATATCGTTGCTCCGATTTCAAAACTTCCCTTTTTGAACATCATGACGGACGTGTTGTTGACACAGGTTCCTGCGGACAGCAGACATTGGGGATTAAACCCACATGAAAAAAAGCTTCTCGTCTGTCACGGCCGAGTAGCCGGATCTCCTCCGGGCACCGGGCTGAAGTGACAACACTTTTAATCTTCGATGACAGAGACAAAACACGAAAAGCCGCTGTGGATGAGGTAACTCTCATCCCTCTACATCAGGGGTCTTCAACGTTTTTCAGGCCAAGGACCCCCCAAACTGATAGAGAGATGGAGCAGGGACCCCCAACTATATATATATATATATATATATATATATATATATATAGTGTTTTATATTAAACTAGGCCTAGTGCCATGTATAAACATACCTCCTTACTGTGCATTCAATACTAAGCTATTCAAATAATACACAGGTTCATATATTCATGTTTTTATTTTAAACATGTGCAAGGCACAGTGAGTAGGGTGGCCGTGCCACTGCCATTTATAAACACACCTTGTCAGCTGATACCAATGCCAATATCAACATTGTCTGTCAATTGCATGATAATCATGCATACAAGCTATTCAAATAGACGTTTTCATTTTAAACATAAATGTGGAAACTAAAATGAGTGATGGCCTATTAGTGCCACTGCCATGCATAAACATAACTGTTATCTTGCATACAATACTGAAGCATTAAAATAATGGACAGATTCATGTTGGGGGGGGGGGAATAAAAAAAAAAATTGTCTAATCAACCAAATATTTCGCGGACCCCTTGCAGTACCTCCGCGGACCCCCTAGGGGTCGCAGACCGCCTGTTGAAGACCTCATGGTCCCTCTTACCCTCTGGAAATATCAAGATGGGGAGCTTTGTCTTGTCGTTCACATGATCCTTCAACCTGGAAACGACACAAATAGGGTAATGGAAACTGTTTTCCTGTACACTTCTGACAACATCAAACATCTGTGAGGAGCGCCTAGGTGATATTGTGAGATGCTGGAATCCAAACCGCGTGAGTCACCGCTCTGTAGCAACTTCCCAAAACGTATCCATTCTTGTTTGGAAACTGTCATTCATGATTTTACATGCCAACCTGCGTCAGTGCCAGAGCAGCCACAGTCAGTCAGTGAGTGAGTGAGTGAGTGAGTGAGTGAGTGAGTGAGTAAGAGAGAACACAGGGCAAGAGAGAGGGCGAGAGAGAGAAAACGGGGTGAAGAGAAAGAGACAGAGAGAGAGAGAGATGTGCCAAGACAAGCCTGAACAGAAGTGCTGGAGTTAGGGAGGGGGACAATCCAACCTTTTGGTCACTAGGTGGCGATCTTTCATCTCTGCTCTCTCGAACCAGACGTGAGGACACGACCTCACCATGGCCCTCTGGAGGACTCCCATCAAACCTCCGTGTATCTGCCCCACCTGATGATCACATTTTGACAGTTATGGCTGCATGAAAAAGAAAGGACCCATCAATGTAGAAATGTTCCAAAAGCAAAAAAGAAAAAAGGAGTTTTCGTACCATAGCGTAACAGCCATCGTTGCAGAGTATCACTATGTCAATGGGACTAGTGTGATTGGCGACACAGATGCCTCCCTTCTGGGGTTTGTTTTCCCTGTTGTGGGGAGGTGAAGACAGATGTCAGACGGCGTTCCCGGTCGGACTGTTCGGTGGCGACGTGGCGAGGAGGCTCACTTACCTGTTGTGATAGCGGATGGTGGCAGAGAGTCCTCGAGCACAGATCCTGTAGCACATCACGTGGACCCATTCACTGAGCCAAAACTTCATCCTGAACTCACACACAAAGCAGCACGGGTGAGGAGGGAACCACCTTCATAAGAATTTAAAAAAAGAAAAAGAAATATGGAATATGACTTCTATTGGTAGGGTTAGAGTTTGTGGTCACCTCCAGTTTGGGAGGAATCCAACTGCAGATGTTCCTATGACCAACCAGGTGAGACCAATGCAGGCCAGAGTTATCCTGGAGAAAGTAAAACACATTTATTTATTATCACTTTTACAGCAGAAGGAAATAAAATAAAAACTCATACACATAATAAAACACCGAATAGCCAGTGTATACGAATTTTTCTATAACTAAATTCGAAACTAAAATATTCCTTTTTTGACACTTTTGGATCAGTATTGTTGTGCTCCTGATTAACAATATATGCAAAAGAATGACTAAAAATAAGATTTATTTGGATATTTTGCTCAAAATTCAATCATTACAATTTGGTTTCTAAAACTAAATATGATGTGTGCTTCCGTAAGCTAGTACCAACCGATTTCAACCAATAATATCGTGACATCCATCAATTAATCTGCAAGTTTTAGAGAGAAGGGAGGCGTGTGTGTGCGTGTGTGTGTTTGAGACAGTAGCTCCTACATTCTGAACCCGTCCACCTTTTAGCGGCCCAATCAAATTCAAGGGATTTGATTTAAATCCCTCTTGTACCTGTACACCGCTCAAATATTTAGTTTCACTGGAACTTTAGTTCCCGAACTGTAGTTTAAAATGTAGCCTTCACAAAAATACATTAATCATGGTCCGATAGGTAAAAAAAGAATAATCATAATTTTGCATTTTTATGATGTTATGCATTTTTCAATGGGCCTCAATTTCCGCTTATACATCATATTTACCAGATCAAATGGTTCTACAACCGCTTTGACATTGTTTCTGCCTGGAAGACAACACTGCATCACAACATCTTAACAGTGGCAGTCTGTGCGTACCTGAGAGGGGCGAGGATGCAGTATCTCACGACAATGCCCAGGCTGTAGACCAGTGTCAGCCTCATGCTGATGAACTGGAAGTCGTTGTTGGTGCGAGTCAGCAAGTTCCACAACACCAGCTCCTCTGAGCTGAACCGCTGCGTCACCTGGATTTAGAATAAAACTAAAATTTAAAAATCTGAACAGCTGAACAGGGCCACTAATTACTAGGGGTGGGAATCACCAGAGATCCCGCGATACGATATTATCGCGATACTGCGACATTATCACGATACTGCGATATTCTGAGTATTGCGATAACATAGGCCTATATTGCGATTCATTACTTTTTTCAACTTCAAATTATGTCCCCAAAGGAAAACTGTGTCAACATGTTTTATCTAATAAGATAAAGTTTTCAGTCTGTTCATCTCACTTCAATCATTTTTATTGCAGCAAAATAGGATTGTCAAGCAGACAGACTGACCAACAATGTCATAAATGTTGCACCTGACAAACTGAACTGTTTGCATTACTACATAGTCCAACTTAACTAAATGCAAACGTGTGGACTCAGTATATGAACTATAACTTATATAAGTAGGATATAAGTTCTAGAACTCAGTATAACTTGCGATGCGTGGACGTCGAGGGCAGAGAGACAGTTATGTGCTGCTCTCTCCCCATGAGCCTGCCTACTGTTGGCAGATTTAACCCCGTTGTGAGGCCAGATGTCTCCATCTTTGTTTTGACCAACTTCCTACCAATCACGCTGACCCGGGACCTTTGCTGACCTCACCAGAAAACAACTCAGCACCATCTGGTGGACTGAAAAAGCAATTGATTTGATTTTTCAAAAAAAAAAAAAAAAAGAACTTTTAAAATTTTTTTTTTATAGTTTATATATTAAAAGATCGATACTTGGCGTCCGTATATCGATACAATATCGCCACGCAAAATATCGCGATACTATGCTGTATCGATTTTTTCCCCCACCCCTACTAATTACCGTTTACATACAGTCAAAACTGTACCTCATCCTCTACAATGCTCTCAATTCCTCTGCGGGTGAAATAGAAGCTGTCACTAAGTGTGAAATCACCGCCCACTGGTTGTTTGGGGCGACTGCATCTGAGTTCCTCAAACTCTTTCTCCATGGAGCCATCTTCCCTCTGGATGAGACCTGACACACACACACACACACACACACACACACACACACAGTTAACAACAAGCCTGGAAGATAAGTCAGCCTTGCCCTGTCTCTCAGGATTGTGACGATAGTGTAAGAGGACATAACGGAAGAAAAATAATCAAAGTTCATCCAGGAACGTGTTTCTTGGAAGGACATTGATATTTTCTACTTGTGCAAGAATTCTGTAAAAACACAAAGCTAAAATAAACGGTTGCAATAAATCAAAGCACGAAACTGTTCTGAGATAATGAAAGAAAAATACTCTGCTTCACATAAAGATGTACGACACGTATCGCTTGGCATAACAGAGCAGACTCAGATCCCCGATGAGATACCGCAACAGATCCCAAAACAGCTAAGAGTTGGACTCCGTATTATCTGATAACTCAGCAGGCAAAGTCCAAAACCTGGAGGGACTAACTGTGCATTCAATACTCCGCCTCATCTCTGTTAATGAAGCGCTTCCACTTCTTCCCGTCGTCGTCCACATTTAGAAATGTAACACTGACTTACTTTTAACTCTGCAGAGGTCACACGTTTGCTGACAAAACGTCTGCCTTGAGTTACGACTCTGCAGCTTAATGACTGATAAAAGAGTTGAGCAAGTAATTGCGTCTTGTGAGATAGGAAACAAGGTGAAGTTCTGCCTATCATACAAGTTCTCAAGTTTATTTTTATATTTATTTCATACCTTTCTTAAAATTGAAAAAAAGTCAGCTTGTTTTAATACTAGTATCATCCTATGTTTATTTTTTTTTTTCATTATTATTTTTGCTTCTTGTGTCGCCTGTTTTTAAACACCTGTGCATTTTTTTATTTCTATAATCTATTGTATCTCTCTAGTGAAGCACTTTGAGCTGCATTTCATGATGAAAGGTGCTATACAAATAAAGCTTATTATTATTATTATTATAATTTCACATTTATTTAAAGGGCTATCACCATTTAGGAAATGCATCTGTATGCAAATCTCCACAATACGATTGCAACATGCTTGCCCAGACTTGTAATAAAGTGTCTTATGAAATCCAGCATTGCAGAGCAAGACGTGCGTCACACTCTAAACCCCAATGTTTCACAATAAAAGATGTGACAGCACAAGTAGCCCCTGATTTCCACACACCGTTAGATGAAGAGGCTTCGAGTGTTCGTTCCTCTGCGTATACTTTCTGTATCTTCAGAGTGGCCCACTGTGGAGGAGGACAGAAAAAAGAATGGACTCATGTCTCACGTGGGTGACAATCTGCAGGACTTGCAACATTTTACACCTGTGAGGGGACACACAAAAAACGACACGAACAAGCATATAGGCTACCTCTAAGGTTTTCACCAGGATGGTCATGTAGGTCTCGGAGATGCCCAGCGAGAAGCCGAACATGGCCGGGACCATGATGAGGCCGACGATGAGGTAGAGCCAAACCTTCAGGGCCCAAAGGGCCAGTGTCCAGAGCTCCTCCATCTCACCTTGTCTATTCCCTGCAGAAGCGTTGGAAGGATCAGCCCAGTGGCTCAGGAGTAGAGCAGCCCTGCATGTGGAGGGGGGAAGTTGTTTGTTGTTGTTTATATTTATATTTGCACTGTTGTCACCTAAATAATACAGATAGCAACATGTGGAAGTCAACCACCACAGTGAGGAATGGAGCAAACAATTATAAATAAAACGCTGACACTCCAGTTTATGTAATCAGGAGTCACCCGGTCACAGTACACCGCACAGAAACGCACGCTCGCGCAGCAACACGATCGGTATCACGTGTGTCCCTGCCAATATAAACGAATAATTTGAATAACCGAACCACGGCAGGACTCCTCTGTCATACAAGATCAGATTGTTTCTGTTAGTTTTAGCCGCACCAGCTCACCGTACCTGTCAGACTCAAATCCATGTCCTTCCTCCCTGAGAGTATAGCTCGGAGGACTTGAGCACGGAGGACTTGAGCACGGAGAACAAACACGCCCATTTACTACTGGAACAAAGTTCACGGAGCAGCCCCCCCCCTCCACACTCCCTCCCGCGGACAGAAAGGGAAGCGCAGACACGTGACACTCTATGCCCAGTTTGGTGGGGAAATAACTTGTTTTCCTTTGCAGAATTTTTTATTTTTAGATCTTTATACCTTCCTAAATAAAGATTGTGATGACAAAATATAAGGAAATAAATACAAAATGTGAGCCAGTTGGTTTCATTCTTGACCTTGGGAATGGCAGAATGGCTCCACTTACTTTAGTTTTTCTGGAGCTTTCCTTGAAATTAGCTCTGAGCAAACTCTACCCACTGATGAAGACCACAGAATATGGTTGAAAGGTCCAGAACATATGTGGGTCTTATAAGAGTGTTTTATTTTATTTATTTAAAGAAATAATATGTGTGCATATACATATAGATATGTGATACAATGATCTTCGTTTTTTCTTGTAGTTTGAGAGCAGCAGTCACTAACCCAGCTGCTAAATATGCTGACCTGAAACTGATGCGTGCTGGGAAACAGTGATACCACTGTAATGAAATGTCACAAACCTCATGTTGCTATACATGACATGGTGAAACCCTTGATGAGGAATGAGGCCACGATCTCTCTCTCTCTCCCTCTCTCTCTCTCCCACCTAAGTCTAACAAAAGGTCCTGATCATGTTCCAGGTTCAGACATTTCACAGTCTGTTGCACATTATTGTAAGAGGGCTTCAGGGGGTCAGTCAGGGTAACAATAAGAAGGCAAATACTTGGATATTTGGCAAAGATGCATTTTTAAAAGAAAACTCTGCCTGCCATAGTAACATGCAAGAGTATATGATGATGCAATTCATGTCTAAAATAAATATTTTTCATATAAGACAGCTGCGATTAAGCATTATGTCTTCACCGCTTTGTTGTTAAATCAGGCTAATGGCCCAGCCTGCAATTCTGCAGCAGACATTCGAGATGTGTAGTAAAACACCCGCCAGCAACACACAATGTGCCCTTTAATGTCAGGGTGTGTTAGCTCCAGTAAGGCAGAGCTTGTTGGTTTTAAAATAGCTGTGTTTTTTTTATCTTTAAACCTCAACACAAACACGTATACAGCATGCAACACTGCTGCTTTTATTGGGTTTAGTGGGGGGGGGAGACACACCCCAGCCTGGCCCATTAGTGTTAGAAATTAAGAAAATTCAACAAACATTTCCCTGTTTAAAAGCCACAGCTCCATTATTCAGCAGTCTCAGACATTCAAGTGCTTTGTTTAAAAGAAACAAAAAAGTATAAATCTCAGATGCCAATGATTTTAATGAGTTCACTGCCTCTGTGTCTCCCATGGAGCAGGACAGCGAAGGAGGGAATGTGTTGTGTCTCAGTAGCCTTCTGCTCCTGGGAGAAATAACTGAACCACAGCAGTATTTACTGAGATGATCCACCTCGGAAAAAGGGCCTTTACCTCGAGCCACAGTGTGCCGTGGTTCATGGGGGATTTTAATGTTCTCTGGAAATAATAAATAATGTCTTGCAGTGGGCTGATATTCCACAGTGCACCGTTAATGTCAGACACACATGTCTACTTTGACAGTGGAGGCTGGAAGTACAATATATTGAAGTGTGAAAGTATTCTTGGGGTCCAGTTTCCCTGAATCCACCACAGTCCTGCACACTGAAATCTAATTCTACTGACATAAAAGGCAGAGTTAGAGCTAAACCGTATGGAAATCATTGTCTGACATGGAATGAACTAATACTTCTTTCCTTTGTCTCAAATAAAACTAAAGAATGCATGTGTTTGCATAGGGTTGGTCTGTTGTTTGACTTTTAAGACCAGTTTCTTATTCATGGAATGCAAAAATACGTTTCAAAGTATGCAAAAAAAAAAAAAAAAAAAAGGTTTAGCTAATTTCCCCAAATCTTCCCATAAGCAGCTGTATCAGAATCTGGAGCATAAAAGGGAGATCAATTGTACAGGCTACAATTACATAACTGTATATGTTGATGCATTTTTATAGCAGTAGGCCTACTTCCGTTTATGTTGAAGTGACAGGTATTTAATCTCATCATGGCTGATACAGCTGCCATAAAGTTTGTCATATTAGCCTCGGAGATAGGGAATAAGGCCTATTTGAAAACTGCATTAACTCTGATGGACTAATAAACGCCACTTTTGATTTTGTAGTTTACAGTTGTAATATTGTAGGCGGATCTATGATTCCTCTCAGCAAGCATCAAGTGTTTTCCCTAAAATGTTCCACCCAATTTCCTCAAGCGTTCTTTTTTTTTTTTTGGAGAGGCAGTAAATTGCCTCGCGCTAATGACGCGCCGCTGGTGCAGGGTTTTGGTGCAAGTCTGGACACATAACAGACAGCGCCTCGTTCTAATCAACGAAGCCTGCTCCCCCTGCCGCTCCTCCCGCAAAGAAAAAAAGGCAGACGGTGCAACCCAGAGAACACTCCTCCACTCCTCCTCTCCTTCCCTCCTTCCCTCTGCAGAGCCGGTGGAGCTTTTCTCCCTCTTTTAAACCACGCTCACCCGGGCTCCCGGTCCCTCATCGGAGCGCGTTCATGTCATGTCATGTCACGGTGCAGCGCACGGTCGAAGTGGTCGCCTCTAACGCCACCGGGAACCCCAATGCCCGGCACTCTTTCTGCAGCGGTTTGAGTTTGGCTACGTGAAATATGCGATGTTTGCGCAAGCGCCCGGTTCTCTTTCTGCTGCACTTTGTTTTCACGTTGGCAGCGGACCACGGAGAGCTCTCCGACTCCGGCGGAGTCTTCCCCCTCTTTGCAGAACAAGGTCAGTGTGGTGCGGTTCCAATGGGAAGCTGCATAGTCTGTGCATGCGTGAATTGAATGACTGCTAGAAGTTAAAAGTGCATGTTAATGTCAGTGTGCAGTAAAAGCCCGTGCAATCAGTGCATCGCAATTCCAAGGGCCCTTCTGTTGTGTTTCACTCTGCAGGTCAGCTGTCCCAGTCAGATGTGTCCACTGTCCACCCGGTGAAGACCACCGGTGATGGGGAGTTCATCTCTCACTCCCTGGCTCACCACTTTGAGGGTGGGCGAGCCAGGCGTGACCTCCGACCCCTCAGTTTGGGGGGACGAGTCTACTACAAGGTCGACCTCGGGGGTCGCTCTTTGATGTTCAACCTGACCGCCAATGATCGGCTGCTTTCGAGCGACTACGTCCTGGAGAAGAGGAACGGCACCACCGGCAGTACCGAGCATCGCCGCCCTGGGGGAAGCTCCTGCCACCTCCTCGGCACGGTGGAGGCTACTGACGTGCAAGGAACTGCTGCCATCAGCACCTGCGAGGGCCTGGTAAGGAATCGCATCGTCTCACGTGCGCAGCAGGCCGATTTAAAAAAACAACAACCTCTGTCTCATTCATCCTCTCATCCACATGAAGCTTTTCACCTTTTCGCCCTTTTGGCAGGTAGGTTTTTTCTTAACACACAGGAGAAAAAGAGGAAGCTGGTATGTAGTTTGTGAGGCAGTCACTGGCTGTTCAGCGAACCCTTCCATCTCACAGTGCTCCATGTGTTGGTTTGCCCTTCAAAAGACTTCCTGACACCTTTTGCAGAGTGGCCGCGCTGCAGACCCGCCGACGGGTTCTGCTCCTCGGCCAACTTTAGAGACCCCGTCTGTGTTCTTTGTCTCTCAGAGGTTTTCCCTCTGTTCTTTCATCCTCATTCATTCACGTCGCTGTCCGTTTCCTGCAGAGACTCTGCAAAACCCCCACCCTTGGACGTGCGGCCTTACTTTGTTCTTCACTCAGACAGTAATATATTTTGGCACGTTCTTTTTCTTTTTTTACAGTCTGGAACTATAATAGACAGATGGAGAGACAGGAAATAGGGCCATACCGTACGTCTTTTTGTTCAGAGAATTGTTTTTATCTCTAAATGCAGCTGAAATGTTTCTAATCAAAGAAGCAGTTCACAACTACAAAGGAGAGAAGACAGCTGGGCCCCAGAAGGACAAGAGAGCAGCTCAACATATGAAGAGTTCTGATCATGAGAAGCGCCACATGAACATTTCTGGAGAAATTCATACTGGTATTTTGAGCTTTTAAGCTTTATTTTCACCAAAATAAGAGCTGCTCAAAAGACGCCCTCCAGCACGTTTTGACATAATTACTCATCCATTACAATTCACACCAATATTCTTTTGAGACAAATGAAAGGAACTCTGCAATGGGTCCGTTTTTCAGTCCCCAAGAATGCTTCGGAGTTCGTGCCTCATTGTGTCACAGCAGGAATGCCTCTCCTTGCAGGATCTTGCCTTGTTATGTTTGCGTGGGTTGCGCTGCACTCTTCCTGCCAAATCTCGTAAATGCATTCATTTGAAACGTGTCTTATATCACTCTGAATTCCAATTATCTACAACCTACTGCCGTCAGAAGATGTTTTTTTCTTTCTTTCTGTGATCCCGAACGCTCCAGTGTGTCCCTTTTTCACCGACCTACCAGGGGAACTACAACGATATGTTCCGCTGATTTTTTTTTTTCTGTTCTGTGGAAGATGGTCTACAGCAGCTAAAACCACAGAGAGAAACCACCAAACGGCAAGACTCAGCCAGACAGATATGGGAGGGAAAACCCTCCCAGCTGCAGCGGAGTTCATTCACCCTCAAGAGACAGATAGAGATGGACTGCTTCGAAATATAGATGCCTGATAATCCTTTGTTTATGTAGACAGGAGTTACCAAAGGCTAGAAACTAACAGGAAGCAGCAAAAACAACAAACATGACAAAGACATCATTTACCATTGGTTTATAAAAGTTAGGGTGGCATTTTTTCAAAAAAGGGATCTGTCAGCGATTCCTGATTATTTGATGAAAACCGTAATTATTATCATAATCAATGGATGTGCTGATTAGTTTCTTCATTATTCGTTTGTCTATAAAAATATCAGCGTGATGTCTCCAAATGACTTGTTTTGTCTGAGCAACAAACCGAAACCCAAAGATATTCAGTGTACTGTAATATATGACAAAGACAAGCAGCAAATCTTCTCATCTCAGAAGCTGGAACCTGCATTGTTTTGGGGGGAATTTTGCCTGAAAGGTATTTGAAACGACTAATCTCTCTTTTTTTTTTCCATATACTGATAGATTTATCACCTAATCATTTCGGCTCTTATTAAAGAGTACCCTCTGATAACTCTGGTAACTCGCCTCTCGTGTTGATCATATCATGTCTGTGTCGGTGAAGCAAATCACTTTGCGAATTCAGAGCAGGATGAAGACTTTTAAAGGCCGTAAAAAGCCACAATGTGGTCACTTCTGCCACTTCATTAGCACCAGTTAAACTCCCACTTCTGGTTGACAAAATGAAGTCACACTTGCTTCAACAAATGGAACTGTGCGGCAGCGAGAAATGTTTACTTTACACATGATTACGTCTCTTTACAAAGCCCTTTGCTTTTCACTGTACATGTGAAACCGTGAAGACCGCAGTAATTGGATGGAGGTTGCTGTCAGCGCCCCCCCCCCCCCAATTTCCCCGGGCTAAACCTTTCAAATCAAGCGAAGCCGAAGCTCTCTCAGTGCAGTCTTCGGTAATCCTCGAGGCACAGCACAAAGAAAGATCATGCAAGTTCAGACCCATTATGTCGGCATTTTCCTCTCTTAAATGCGTGTTTCTTGGCACTGTGCAAGAAGAGAAAAGATAATGTCTTCCGACCTCTGAGGAGTAAAATAAGCTCACAGGCAGAACTATCTTGTGAAGTAAAAACAAACTTAAGGCTAGTGAAATCTGTAATTATCAGGAATCAGTTTTGTAAGAATATTTGTTAGGATTGATCACATTGCAGTAACAAGCACCATCCGCCCCCACCTCTCCTTTGGGCCACAGGATGCGTAACAGCAGGGACTTTTATTACAGGCCCAGTTGGCCAGCACTACAACAACCCACAGAAGCAGGAAACAGAAGTAAAGCAGTTCCACATGGCCGATGTATTTAGAACACAGACCTGTGTCATGGTCACCTCCCCTGGCTCTGGCACCTCGCACCCAAACACGTTTCCTCTAGGTCAGAGGAAAAGGAGGAGAAGGGGCGGGGGGTGGGTGGCGGCAGAGGAAGGAGAGGTGGCAAAAGTGAATTAAAGTGCAACGATGAGTATTCGGGATTCCGAGCAAAAAACAACAACAACAAAACGGTTGCGTCCCTATTTTTGCTCAGATGGAAGTCTTAGTTGGTACCCTTGTCTTTGTTGGTTGAGCGCAGACATCACACAAGACCTGTACGTGGTGATTTAACGATCACCGTAACAGCACTGTACAAGCGAAGCCGTGCAGTGCCGCGCTGCCTTTGGTATGCAGATCATACAGATCAAGCAGAGCTATAGCCTGAGTGTTTGGATTGGCCTCTCTGTAGCATTCCTTCCTGGTTGATCTGCACTCCACCACCTGCTTCTCACTGCCGGGACTCACTTGGAAGTTCAACATATAGGAGACACCGTGATGACAGAGTATCTGCCCTTATATGGATCACAAATAAACAAATAACAAATCTTATTGAGGTTAAATCATGTTGACCCTGGACAACATGATTGAAAGAAGAGCGTGTGGAGTATTTTTCTGCACAGGACCGGTGGCAAGTGTTCCCAGCAGGCATATCGGCCTGCATGCTTTGAGTATGAGTCCACGGCAACTCAGGGACCCCTGGCTGAAGGCCATGCTCTGAGTCAGTGGAAAACCTCTTAATCATTGCTACATTTAATCAGAGGTCGAATTTTGTTCATGGTTATTGTTGCTGTTCTGGTGATTTTTGAATGAAATAACAAGCAACGTTGTAGTACTTGAAACCAGTCTCAAGACCACTATTTGAAGGTCTCTGCCTCATCTCGTCATTGGCATGGTCTCAACCCATCAAAGTCTCTGTCTTGTCTGGATACAGTCTGGTCTTCGTCTTGACCTGGTCTCAACTCATCAAAATCTTGTTCTTGTCTTGATACATTCTGGCCTTGACTTGGTCTCAACCCCTTAAGGTCTCGGTATTGTCTCGATACAGTCTAGTCTTGGTCTTGACTTGGTCTCAACAACTCAAAGTCTGTCTGGTCTCGATACACTCTGATTTTGGTCTCGGTTTAGGTTGTCTTGACTACAACACCGATTAAAAAGCCTGAAGAGCTTGTTTGTATCGAAAGCTTCTGCTCCAGATTGTGGACACTCCATCTTATTTTACAAGGTTCGGTTTAACGGGTGGAGTAATATAGTTTTTCCAAAGGGAGTGCTCTTCTAGATTTGCACTTTCTGAACTCCCTGAATGGAGAAACATGATACTCAGCCAGAGCTCTGCAGCCTGCTGAATGAATGCAGCTAAAACACAAGAAACATGCCAGGATGACCCAGAAAGCTGAAGAGTGAGTTACAGCAGCAAACAGCGGGGTCGACCCTGGGGAACCACAACTGTAAGCACTGCATGGCCTGGTTTTTCACATCTGCCTCTGTCTCCAAAAACACTGAGAAGAGATCCAAGAATCAGGTGCAATCAACATCATATTCTCGGAAATACATGGCGTTGGTCTTGTTCGATTCAACACACAATTGCGTTTAAAATTAAATCTCCTTGGATACATTTTTTCATGCTCATGAAAACATGCAAAATTCCTGCGGAGGAAAATAAATTAAAATTCTTTCACTCAGTTGTGCTTTTTCCATCTGTTTGGCCGTCAAAATGAGTATGCATCTCTCTCTCTCATTCTGTTTCTTGAAAGTTTGTTTAAGGGGAGAGGGAGGGGTTCATCCGGGAACAGTTTGGGCTTGTTTGGTCTCACTCTCTCTCTCTCACAGACACACACACACCCACACACACACACTTAACTAAATGATGAGAACTTGCACTGAGCTTGACTTGAGACATTCAGATTGTGCTTGGTTTAGAAGTCAAAAGGTTTTTGTGCGTTTGCGTGCATCTGTGTGTTCATGTGGGTACGTCTGTGTGCGAGGGCGCCCTACCCAAGTACTCATACATGTGTGCTTTTTGCCAGCAGAGCTCACCGGTTGGCAAGTGAACAGTCTGCACCAGTAAGAACACGCACGGCATACTTAGGAAAACATCTTTGTGTTGCTGCTGCAGCAGCGGCAGACGGAGAATGTGCCTCGGGGAAGGAGAAAGCACAACATATATTCAGATCTGTTGAGTAATGATGGATTCCACCCAGATGGAAATTACTGAGGAATGGCCATTTTTTCAGTAGAGAAAGTCCATCTGTTGAAGTGTGGGAAATATTGAATTGCGGGACATTTGTTGTTGTAAATGCTTTAACACAAAAGAATGCTACTTGAAGCTGCATTAGGCATGATTTTGGGATGAAATGAATCATCTTTTTAATTGTTATTAACAATCCGTAGCTGTGACTGAGCAGAGCCTCGTGTCAATATATTTGCCCTTTTTTGATTTTTCAGTGCAATGGAAGGGATTGATCCAGACTCACTCATTTCTACTTGATGCATGTTCATTTTATCTTCCTCAGAGAGGCTTCTTCTCGCTGCCGGAGGGACACTACTTTATCGAACCTGTCCAGAAGTCCCCCGATGATCCTGCGGGGACTCCAGAACCCCATATCGTCTATCCAAGAGTTCTAACAGGACGTCAGAGAAACAAACGCAGCGTTGAGTCCAAAGAGACGCCAAGCCCCTGCGGAGTTCAAGGTGTGTATCTCAATGTGTGTGGAACTGCAGATGTTCGTGAGCATTTTTTTTTTACTCCGTCTCCGCCTGTGTCAAGCGAGGATAAGCCCTGAGTGTATAGCAAGTGATGTCTTCCTTCGTCCGCGCTCTAGATGCTCCAATCGACTCTGTCCAGGTGGAGAGGGAGAGGGAAGAGTGGGAGAGGGAGCAGATGGGGGAGGACCGGGCTCAGCCTCGCTGGCCGCGCTCGGTCAGCAGAGAACGCTGGGTGGAGACCATGGTGGTGGTCGACGCCAAGCTCATAGAATACCACGGCAGCGATAACGTGGAGTCCTACATCTTCACCATCATGAACATGGTGAGGAGTTAGAATCAGATTTAACTCTTCACATCTTATGTTAAGTTTAAAAAATATATAGTTTTATTGGTGAATGGTTTCGGTGTCGACAGGTGGCTGGGATCTTTCATGATGCCAGTATCGGGAACGCCGTCCACGTCATCTTGGTTCGCCTCATTCTACTCCAGGGAGAAGAGGTAACACTTTCCCGAAGAAGTCGGTGTCGGGATGTCTTTCTTTGACGATGCATGTGTTCAGGCTATTGCAAGAAAAGCACACGCATCTATAAAGCATTCCTCTGGGGGGAAGTTAGGAGGTGAAGTAAAGTAGGAGACTCCTTTGATTTGTTTTTTATTCGTGCATGGACAGCGCACAATTGACACAAATTTGCATCTGTTGACGCAAAAATTGGAAGAACATATTGGCTAACCAGTGTGACAAACTGAAAAATAAATTGACACAAAGTTCAACAAGAACCTGTAGCACTGGCGATGAAAACAACATTGTTTGTCCCAATAAAATGTCACCATATTTGCAAAACTTTCTTGGCTTAAAAGGAAAAAAACTGTCATAACTTGTGTATAAAAACTCCTGTTTTGAAACGAATGTCAGTGAAAGTGAAATGGTTGCCCTGCTGGAACGGTGCTCACATGGACATTGCCTTCTAAATTCCCCTTGAAAGAATGAAAACAAACATTTTTCTTCAGGGTCATTATTTTGAGATGCTGTCAAATGACTGAATGTAAAAAAATATATATGAATAAATAAACACAAATCTAGATAATGCCAAAGATGCGCAGAATATCCTTTCTAATTCTACTGTCTGTTGCAGAAAGGGTTAAAGATCGTTCACCATGCGGACACCACGTTGTCCAGTTTCTGCGCTTGGCAGAAGAACCTCAATCCACAGAGTGACACGCACCCAGCTCACCATGACGTTGCTGTGTTGGTCACGAGGCAAGTGACACACACGCGCACGTGTTCTTCGGTCAGCTTCATCCATAGATAAATTAAACGATACGCCCTGATGCTCAGCGGCCCTCTCATGGTGTAAATGGGACCTATACAACACATGGTGAGCCTGTGTTTCCTTTCCCAGGAAAGACATCTGTGCTGGGATGAACCAGCCCTGTGAGACCCTGGGTCTGTCCCATCTGTCTGGGATGTGTCAACCGCACCGCAGCTGCAACATCAACGAGGACTCGGGACTGCCGGTCGCCTTCACCGTCGCTCATGAACTGGGCCACAGGTCTGTCTGTGTGTGGACTTGTGATAAAATACCCCCAATAATGAAATATCGTAAAAACAATTGGCCATGTGACAAAGAAAGCGTCTCGCTCCCGTGATAAGTCGCTATAGTGGAAAATACAGTTGCTTCAGTAAATCTCCAAGCATTAGTGTCTGGTAAAGAAAAAAGATTGCTACATGAGATTGATGTGATGTGGGTGTTTTAATAATGGTGGAAGTGAATGGACAGAAAAGTTTGATTTGGATTCCTGGGAGACAGAAAACCTTATTTTCATTGTCAGTTCAATCAGAAGACAACAGTTTTTAAATCCATTTCTGATTATGAGGACTGTATGGCTGAGTTGGATGAAGGGAAGACTTGAACCTTTGTTTAGAAAGAGTAATGCATGAAGCGATGGAACTTTCTCTAAACTCTATTTAAACCTAAACACCTGAGATCAATCCCACACTATATGCTACTAATATAATGTATACATCATGTACAAAATCTTCACAGTATGCTGTTTGGGAGAAAACCACTGTACTTTTCTGCTTTGTACTTACAGGAAATGTGCAAACCAAACGAGGAAACAAATGTGTTACTTGCAGTTATCGTTGTAGAGTTCTGTTGAGGTCAGCAGGCAGTGTGTTCAGAGGCAGGGCCGACAGCCGAGGGCCGTCTAACATAACTCCTTTGTGTGTGGGGAGGGAAACATCGTAACTAATGGTCATGTTGCTTGATGTTTGTGCGCAGCTTTGGAATCCATCACGACGGTCAGGGGAATGACTGCGAGCTGGAGGGGAGGCACCCGTTCATCATGTCCAGACAGCTGATGTACGACAGCTCGCCGCTCACCTGGTCCTCCTGCTCCAAAGAATACATCACGCGCTTCCTCGAGTAAGGCTTCGTTTCATAAAAAATCTGACATGGTTCACTCGGTTTTAATGCAATTGTTCTGTCTTTGTGGGGTAACACGCAAGTGGTCTGCAAAATTGTATGAATCGCCAGGGTTGTGAAGATAAAGTGGATATGCTGGTGTGGATTTGACTGGAGGCACATGACAGAAAAATCAAACAGAGCCCAAGGGAACGTTAGAGGGAGTTGCACAAATATCCTTAAATGTTTGCTTTGACTCTCATTATTTCTTCTTGAAAACCGTCACAATGATGAACTCTAGAATTCCTGTCTGACAACACCGGTTTTGCCTGGAGCAAAGTCAGAGGTCGGAGTTCACTCCGTCCCACCAAACTTTGTAAATCACCGTTTCGCAAGTCATTTTCTCAGTGTTTTCCCGTCACCTTTTTTGACTTAATACTGGGCTGGGAGACTGCAGTACGGTATAAAAGCAAATGGTTAGCATGTTTCTTGACATGTCATGGCAATGTATGGATATACTTACATTTTTTACTGAATGTTCAAAGCAAACAAGTACCTCGAACCCTGTGCCCCTTTTTCTTCTTCGTCTGTCTTTCAAAAGGTCACTCATTCAATACCACACCTTCGTTTCTCTGTCCTAGCCGCGGCTGGGGTTTCTGTCTGGATGACCGTCCCTCCAAGAGAGACCTAACCACCCCGCTGGCTCGCCTCGGCATCCGCTACACCACGCAGCACCAGTGCCAGCTCCAGTACGGCCCCAATGCCACCTTCTGCCACGAGGTTGACGTGAGTGTCGTGCGCGTCGGCGCCAACGGAAAATGTCAGAAATCCTCTTAAGAAAAGAGTCCCTTTTCTCATTGCTCGTGGACATGTGTCTTTTCTCTCTCAGAACATGTGCCAGATTCTTTGGTGTTCGGTGAACGGCTCCTGTCGCTCTAAACTGGACTCGCCCATAGACGGCACCCGCTGTGGACCGGAGAAGGTGGGTGGTGCCCGGGTTGCTTTGTCTCGCTAGGGTGTGGATTTCATTGGCCCCGGGGATGGGGGTGGTTAGCGCTACGGATACAAGGCCGCCACTATTATATGTGTCATATTACTAATGTGTATCAGTTTTTTGTTTTTCTCTCGCTACAGTGGTGTATCTCGGGAGAGTGCGTGATTGTGGGTAAACTCCCAGAGACGGTCAATGGAGGCTGGGGCTCGTGGAGCACCTGGTCTCACTGCTCCAGGACCTGTGGAACCGGGGTTCAGTCAGCAGAGCGGGAATGTAACAACCCCAAGTAAGAGAGCTGACTCTAGATCTGAGTTTGTCTATTCATTTCCATGTCTACCACAAACTGATGACACCAGGGGAACTGAGGGTTGAATCAAAGTGCCGCTACTGTGTTATCCGCAGACCGGAGTTCGGGGGTAAGTACTGCACGGGGGAGAGGAAGCGTTACCGGACCTGCAACACCAAACCCTGCCAGAGAACTACGCCGACCTTCCGAGAGATGCTGTGCAGCGAGTTTGACACCGTGCCCTACCACAATGAGCTCTACCAGTGGATTCCTGTGGCTAACCCATGTGAGTGATCAAAGCCTCAGACATGCGATCTTGTGTGTCACCCAGCAGGGGGCAGCATTTGCACTAGAAAGCCCCTCGGTGATGCTGCTGCTGTATCTCATCAGGGGCATGCAACAGTTCAGTGCAGTAATGTCTGCACACATTCTTTTTTGTGCTTTGTGTCATTTACCCAAATTCAAATAGCTGTTTCTACAATTAACTTTTTTTTAATCGGGCTCACGAGTGGTTTGTCTGTCAGAAAAGATTTAAAAAATGTCATTGATTAAAAAGTAGACCGGACTCACAAGGCAGCATTATAATACTTCTTCTCCCCAACCTTCAGTGAACCCCTGCGAGCTGCACTGTCGACCAGTCGTGGAGTTCTTTTCGGAGAGGATGCTCGACGCTGTGACGGACGGGACGCCGTGCTTCATGAACAACGTGTCCAGAAACATCTGCGTCAACGGAGTGTGCAAGGTAGTGTGGCTGGGTAAGAGACTAGAAGAAGGGCAGGAGGGGGGTGTGGGGGGGAGGTTATAGCGGAGCAGTATATGAGACAAGCTGCAGTGTAAGGATCACGAGGAGGAGTTTTTGGTTGTCTGTCCTATGCGTTTGAACATGTCTTGTGTCCGTAGGCGGTGGGCTGCGACTACGGCATCGACTCAAACGCCGAGGAGGACCGGTGTGGAGTCTGCCTGGGCGACGGCACAAGCTGCGAGACGGTTTATAAGTCGTTCGACAGCGGAGAGGGCTTCGGTGAGTTCTAACGCAAAAGGGGCACTTGAGCAGCTGGAAACCAATTGAATCACCCAGACGAAAGAATTGATCCAATTAGGAAAACTCAAAACAGGCAACTTGTTAATGAGGAGAGGCTTTGAAGAGTGTGAAAAGGTGCAGAAATCTTAAATTCCACAGGTGGGGGGGAGACATTTCAGGACAGTTCATTAGCATTACGCCATTGTGTTGTTCCTTTGTTGTCATGGCAGCCCTCTCGTGCACACTGTGCAGCTGTTTGTCCTGCTGTATGTGGCTGGCGTGTGTGCCTGCAGACTGACATGTCTGATTTTACTGTGCTTGGGAAAAGTATAACTTCAGTGCACAATCGGCAAAGACAGATTAATAGAGAAAAAGGCTCTAAAACTGATTTTTTATAAAAATCCTTCCTCCTTTCCCTCTCTCGTTCTCTCTGTCTGTGTGCGTTCGCCCCGCACAGCATCCTTTCCAGATAACCGGCCCAGATGTGTAGAACTTCAAAAGGCTTGGAGCAAGGAGCAAGGGCAACCCCCCCCCCCCACCTCCGCACAAACACAGAAACACACACACCTTCCCACAAACATCATTAAACTCCAGAGACCGACTCATAGCTGCTTTCGTCCTCCCCCCATCCACACAATAAAAAACAGACAGAGACAGGGCAGTGCCCCCCACGCCGAATACACACACGTGCACACACACACACACACACACACACACACACACACACACACACACAAACATGCCACCGACCCCCACACACCGAGCCCACCCTCCATTAAAGATCAGAGAGGAAACTGTCTGGTAGTCTGGATGTAAGAGCGTGGCAGCAGCAGCCATGGTGGGCCATCCATTACCTCGCCGTGACTCTGACTCCCCTCTCCACTCTCCCAGGGTACGTGGACATGGGTGTGATACCCAAGGGGGCGCGGGACATCCTGGTGAAGGAAGTGGAGGAGGTGGGTAACTTCCTGGCTCTGAGAAATGTGACATCGGAGGAGTACTTCCTCAACGGCAACTTTATCATCCAGTGGAACGGGGAGTACGAGGCCGGCGGCACGACGTTCTACTACGAGCGCAGCGGGAACATGGAGAACCTCACTGCTCCTGGACCCACCAAATGGCCGGTCATGCTGCAGGTAGGCCAGGTTTTAATGTGGTTGAAGGGAGTGCAGGGTATTTTTGACAGTTTTGGAATGTTTCAGTGTTCTGAGATCTATAGAAGTAATCCATAATGTGGATTTCAACCAATCATGGATAGAGAAAAGTGACTTCAAGGAAAAACCAACCAATCAGAGCATGCAAACATAATATAATAATAAAATGTCTCCAGTTGTTTTCTCAAACATTTCAAAGACGCAGATGCTGGAATTAAACTAAAGAGTCAAACATTCAACGATGAAACAATTCTCTGCATAACAATTCATGTGGTGTGCCAGTTGCTGTTTCAGGAGAAGAACCCGGGTATTAAGTACGAGTACACCATCAAGAAGACCAAGGAGACAGGAAATGACGTCATCGAACCCCTTTACAGATGGAGGCACGGGGCGTGGACGGACTGCAGCACCACCTGCGGCTTAGGTCGGTGTTGCGTTTGACGAGAAAGAGAATTCCCCGTTCCGTAAATTTGTGGTAGTTGGAGGATTTCGGGGACATTTTAGTCAACGAAATTCTCTGCTTTCCCGTTTGCTTTCTGTCTCCCTGGCCATTTTAGGTGGACAGCACCAGCCTGTGCGGTGTTTTGAGGTGGACGTGGGGGTAGTGGACGAGTCTCTGTGTGACCCGGCCGGGCGTCCAGAAGACCGACACCGAAAGTGCAAGAATATGGATTGTCCTGCAAGGTGCTTTCTCTCAATCGCTTTTAACAGTTTTTTTTTCTGTAACTGTCCTGAAAAAATATTTGACTGTGATTTTAGCTCTATAAATATTTCTTGATGATTATTGCCAGTGTAAAATTGGAGAGACACCAGGCTATCTCACTAGCTACTGTAGATACCTATGAAATATTACGTCTGGTTTAAGAACAAGGCAGTAATTTCACTGCTTTATTATAAGTTTTTCAGTTAGTCGCAATAGTGATATTGCGTTCTCTCCCCTTGGCCCAGGGTTGTAATGACAGAATTTGACCAATGAAACCAATTATTTAAATCACTGCTATTTTCATCTTTTGGGCCGGTTATAGAACTTCAGTACTCTTTTGGTAACCACTTAAATGTGTTCATAGAACATATTAATAGCTGTCAAGTACCAAGAGTTTATATCAATGGCCCGATCAGATTAATAGTCTTGTTTACTTCTTCGATGACATACTTCCTGGTTTAAATCAATATTTTGCCAGTTATAGACTCTATTTTTTTTGGCAAAGTTCTTCCATATTTGCTTGTGTTTTTGAGAACATATAACAGTTTGGAACTTTAGGTTCTTTTGGTAAAATTAAAAAAAGGGTTTTGTTTTCCTTCAAACAAAGTATTTAAAAAATCATTAACATCCGTTAATGCATTGGCAATATAGTATTAAACATTTTTCGAACGATTACCATGTGGTCCCTGTTAAGATCTCTGAATGCCATCAAATCACTTTTACCAGCAGTCTCTTCCTCCCTCTGCCCAGGTGGTGGGTTGGCGGCTGGCAGCAGTGTACAGTCACCTGTGGATCAGATGGGGTTCGTAAACGAACGGTGCTCTGTGTCCGTACGGTCTCGGGGGAGGAAAGGGTGCTTCACCCGATCGAGTGCAAGCATCTCCTCAAACCTAAACCTGTGGTGCCGTGCAACAGGGATGTACCCTGTGGAAAAGACTGGGCTGTCGGCAACTGGGAGGAGGTACGTGCAGCTATAGTCTTTCTGACTTCGGCCTTACAGATCACCGCCTTTTCTGAGTTAACGCAACCATCGTCTTCTTCCTCCTTTCGCAGTGCCCCGTCACATGTGGCGGAAGTGTTCGCTCACGCACGGTCACGTGTGCGCTGACGCACAAGAAGACCTGCGACGTCTCGTCCAAGCCTCGGTCCAGATCGCTGTGCGCCCTGCAGAGCTGCAACTCAAGTCTTCGTAGACGACCCGGGCCTGCTCCTAAATACCGGCGCATCTACCCACCGAAGAGCCACCCCACCAAGGATCCCGAAGCTACCTGGGCTCCCACCCCAAGCGCCGTGGCAACAGCTGCTCCCACAGCGGCACCCACCGCTGCTATCAATGTGAGGAAGAAAACCACCACCAAAGAAACTACAACCGCTTTCACCCCGACCGCCGTGTCCCTTTCAACACCTACAATCCCTGAAATCGTAGACACGGACGACCATAACCTCAATGTTGTGAGGATAAATGGGGATGAGAGAGTTTTCCCATCTAAAGTCAACTCTGCTGGAAAGGACAGAAAAGCAACTGACTTGGAAAAGGTAGAAGAGAGGGAGGAAGGAGAGGAGGGAAGTACGCCAAATGTAGAGCTGTATACTCCCGGGTACGACTACGTTGTTGAGGAGAGGACAACAGAGGAGGAGGGGATTATTGACCTAGATATTACCACATCTACCTCCCTCAGAAATCCTCTTAAATCAACCACGCCGACACTACAAATAGTCATCACGGCCACTTTGCAAACAAGTCCACATACCATGCAAACAACCAAAGCGCCCACCACCGCCTACCCCAACCCAAACACCAGTACTAAAACATGGGCAAGGTCCACTCACCGCTATCCCTCCTCCAACCCCCACACCACACCTTGTATCAATGCATACAGACCCCGGACACACAGGGTTCCCTTCACCACTCCCATGTACCACTCAGTCCCGTCGACAGCTGGCATCCGCACGACACAAGCTCCTCCTTCCACAACTGCGTGGAAACCGTTCACCACTGTGGCGTCACTCCAGTCCACGGTGACGATCGTTAAACTGAAGAAGCCCACGGTGACACCCAAGAAAACTATCCCTGCCAAAAAGCCCTCTTCCTGGTCCAAAGGCAGTCGCTCCAAAGGTCAAAACCAGCGACCGGAAAGTCCCATGAGCAGCTCCGTCAGTGACCAAAGCAACCTGAGGGCCAGAGAGCCAGTCAGCATGGATGTATTCTGGGTTGTAGGAAATTGGAGTGAGGTGGGTACAGACATTTTAGGACCATATTACCCTGCTCTGTGAAGAACCATTCCGGTAAATTTGCACGTAGCCCACAAACATGACTTTGAAAGATTTTCCCTTCCAGGCATGCTTTCACTGCTATGAAATTAAAGCTTTAAAATTGTACCTTCAGATCAAGTGGCAATCTCCGTTTGTGAGAAGTGAAGTCAATGCAGAAGTACCTTAAACTTACATTATTTCTAATGGCCAGCAGGGGGTGACTCCTCTGGTTGCAAAAATAAGTCAGATTGTATAGAAGTCTATGAGAAAATGACTCTACTTCTCACTTGATTTATTACCTCAGTAAACACTGTAAACATGAGTTTATGGTCTCAATCTCTAGTGTCAAGTCTTCTTCAATACAGCATGATGTTCATTTCGTAAATGATGGTCCATTTAGAGTCAAATAGACCATAAAGCAGGGTATGCTTTAGGGCGGGCTTACTGTGATTGACAGGTCTCTCCCAGAGCGTTTTCCGCTCTGGGAGTTGTCCATTTTTTTGTTTCAATTTAGAGTTGTCGAAAAAGCATTATGTTACCAGAAAATGCAGAAGACCAACAATGAGCAAAGTATAATAAGGGAAACGTAAGGAATTAATCAAAGTCAGCTCTTTGGCAGCAAAATATTTTTTAAAATACTGTTCCTGCCTGCAACTGCATAAAAGCTGCACTTAAGCGTTCGTGGTTCATCGTGAAAAGTTATCTGCTTTTATCCGGCTAAAACATGTAAAACCTCAGGTACAATTCTTTAAGAATTTCTGGTTGTTGTTTGTAGCATTCCATAACTGATGTACTTTACAATATTATTGCCTCGCATGTCACTTTAAATCAGCATACACCTAAACCCACTCAGAAATCCCCCCCTCCTTCCCCAGTGTTCGACAACATGCGGGATTGGAGCGATATGGAGGACAGTAGTGTGCAGCTCCCAGAAGGACGAGGATTGTGCCAGCATGAAGAGACCTGAGCCTGCACGCACATGTCACCTGCAGCCCTGTGCCACGTGGCACAGTGGCAGCTGGAGCAAGGTGAGTAACGTTAGATTTCCTCCAGTCACCGAATCCGACAACTACACTTAATACTTAATTACAATTCCGCTTATTATCCGTTACTTTTCCATATGATGAAATGGGTTTGCTCTGTCAGTTCAGTTCTCACTTGCCATGTATTTCTGAGCCATTTATCCAGATGTCATCCACAGTGTCCGGATTCCTGTGTGGTGGTGGGCAGGAGGTACCGTGAAGTCCAGTGTGTCGATTCCCAGAGTAAACGTCCCCTCAGACCTTTCCACTGCCAGGCCGTGTCCAGCAGACCCCTTAGCACCTTGACTTGCCCCCACAAGCCCTGTATGACCTGGAGTACATCACCCTGGGGACCAGTAAGAACATTATACTCATCAAATCTTAATATATTTATTTTGGTATAGCTTTAAAGAGTTATACATGTGTTTTTGTAAATATACTGTCACTCAAGTGGTGTCTAAGCATGCAGATGGTTTCGGTTTCATTTGCTTCGATTTTGATTTTAGATCCAGCCTTAAAGCTTGAGATGGTAATCTTATTTTTCAAAAAAAGTATTGTTATATTTGTTGAGATTCTCTTTACCTACCAACAGCAACCAATAAATCAAATGCTCTGACAAAAACAAGAGAAAAAGAAATCTGGTATCTGTGGTTGTTGCTGTGAGCTCGTCCAATTAATTAATTTGGCTAGTATGCTCATCGTAGTCTTTCACGAGCTGTTAGCTTGACAGCTGTGAGTGCTCCCAATAGCGACAATCGTTGTTTATGTTCATTATCATCATTTTGAGGGAGTGGCTTTTGGTGAGTGTTGCCGACGCTAGATTGAGTAACCTTTGGAGCTTGTGCTGCTAGCTGCTTTCGTTGGAAAAGAGTTGGTAACACTGCTGGTTTTTTTTTTTTGGTTGCATAATTGTTTTTATCTAGCGTATGCTTCCTAGTGGCTCAAATTTACCATCCCTGGCTTAAAGCTATATCTGCCACCAATATTTTTGTAATTTGGGGGACTGAAACCTAAATGGCTTATTTGTTTTAACCTTTTCATAACAAATCTGCTTTACATGTGAATGAGTAGTGTTCTGTTTGCAAGTTATTCTTATGGATATCATCCCATTTTCTAGTAACCGTTTCCACCTAGGACATCAATTATTGCTGCTCTGTCGCAAGACGTAGCCTCTAACATTGAGGATTTAGGAAATTTAGGTCGTACCCAGATCCCCATATGCCCATATTATACAGTTGCACATGTAGGTGGATTGGATTTTTGTTCCAATTAGATACCTCCGTTGAATCCTTGTGTTTTTACTCAGTGCTCTGGCAGCTGTGGCGAAGGCGTCAGGGAGCGGCTGGTGTACTGCCCCGAGCCCCATCGCTGCAGCGCCACACTGAGGCCCAACAGCACGGAGACATGCAGTCTCAAGCCCTGCACTCACTGGACAGCTGAGGACTGGGAGGAGGTCAGTCACACAAGAGCGAGAGTACCTTCGAGGCATTGAGGGCATTTCTAAATGTCATTCGTAATGAAAATAAATAGGCTGGCAGCAGTAGACTAAAATGATCACTCTGTTTGCATGTGCATTTTCAGTGCTCTGTGAGTTGTGGTGGGGGTCAGCAGCAGCGGGAAGTCAACTGTGTGAGTGAGCAGGATTTGCCCCTGATGCCAAACAGCCTCTGTGAGAAGATTTCCAAACCAGAAACACTCAGGAAGTGCAATATGCAGGAATGCAAGATCAACACAGGTTTGTACGCAAGGCTCAATGTGTCCTGTCTGCCTGTCTGGCCTTGCAGGTTCACTATCAACACAATAGTTTTATTGTGACAGACCTCTTGGTTACAATCACTCTAAATACACTAAATATTATCTGTAATGCAGTGTTTCATGGCATGTGACCTCTGTGTCCTATTCCTTCTCATGCAGGTCCAGTTTGCAGGAAGAACATGATATCATCCCGCTTCTGTGAAAAGCTGAAGCTGCTGGGTCGCTGCTCTCTCAGGTCGGTCCAAAGACAGTGTTGTGTCACCTGTGAGTCATAGCCAGGGTTGCACAACCACATATATTACAATATGGACACATCCCAACCACTGTAATACTTACTGTATCCTCTTGCTGATGTAAAGCTATGCCCTACACAGACTGAAACGTCAAAAACCAAAGTGCTACATGCAGCAGCAAAGCACAAACACTAAGATGAAATATATATACATTTATTTATTTATATATATATATATATATATATATATATATATATATATATATATATATATATATATACACACAAAACATGGCTTATTGACCATTAACCTCTAACAGTCTTCATGTCTATTCATTATCAGTATTTATAAAAAAATAATATATGTATATTTATAGTAAAGTAAAACATCGGTAACTCTATATTATTATTGTTATTTTATTATCATTATTATTTTATTTTATACCTATTTAGGTTCTTTGTAACATTTTCCAGTGAAGATTTTTCTAGGTTTCATAAAAATATTTAATACATTAAATAAATAAATAAAAAGTAAGTAAGATTACAGTCAAAACACTGATGATGAATAGACATTCAGAGTTGAGAGAATCAAAAAAAAAATTATATATATATTAATTGGCAAGTTTAAGGATGTTTTAAGGACAGTGCGCAAAATGTGTCATAAAATCAATGTGATTCAACTAGTGCAAGGCCAAATAATTCAGTACTGAACATACTGAACAAAAACATAAAAGAATGTCAAATTACCAATTAAAATAATAATCAGAAAGCACAATTTAACTAACTATACTGTTTTGATCAATTAAGAACACGAGGTACAGTGTGCAGCTTCTCTATTCAACAGAAAACCTACAGTACATATCTCTCTGGTCCTTTTATATTTGTGTTGCTGATGATTAACAGCTGAACAGTCAATTCACCAGTTATCTTTTTATATCAAAGTGAGCTGGTAAAAAACGAATGTAAATTAAAAAAAAATGTAGACCTCTATTCAATTGTTAATAGTAATGAAAATCGGTGCTTTTTTCCTGCTACATTGTGTTTTTTATCCTCGGGGCTGGCATTGTGTGTTTACATTCTCCCGGGTACAAGTTCCTGCTTTAGTCATTTTTGTCATGATTGTTGCTAATTTGAATTCAAATCAGCTGCAGGAGCTGCAAAGCTCTGTGGTCGACCCTGTGGTGCTCCTCCTCTGGTGTGAGATTGACCAATAAGAAAGAGGTGTTGCAGGTCATCCCTCTCAGGTCCTTTTTTTTAAAGATGGCCACTGCATTTCTATCATGTTGTACAGGCATTACCATTACCAGTCATTGTACTTCACGTCTCCAATGACAAAATGTGACGATAAAAGATGTTTGTGACTGAACTGCTTTGTAACTGAGACATGAAATTAAAAAAATATTTGAGTGTCTTTAATGTGTTGGTATGATGCCATTATTTCCATCCATCCATTCCAACATTAAAAAAAAAAAAAATGGAGTTGATGTAATGTGCACAATAAAAACCCTTCTTTGCATAGCTGCTTGATGACCTTTCATTTTCAGCAAGGTCATTCTCGCCTGAGGGCCCCACGTGCTGCTGGATGTGTAACACCAGAATCAGCAGCACCAGTCTCTGTTTCAGGGATTGGGTTCAGCCAGCCCAGTCTGATTTCCCAGTCTCTCTCTTGTGCCAGATAACTTGACACGGACGGACGCTGCCCTCGCTCTGGTGCCACGCTGCTATCATTCAAGCCAGAGACCAAGAGTTAGTCAGCAGTAATGGAAGGAGTAACGCAATACGGGCACAATGTGGAGCCTGATGTCCTTACAACCAGCAGTGTGTGTGTATGTGTTTGTGCATTATCATGACAGGGCAAACACCATCCAGTTGTATTACCTAACCGCATGTCTCATTGTGTTACGTCACAGCATGTTGCTTCATTTGCAGAGTTAGACAATGGAAAGAAGTGATTGAAATTGAAAAACAGGAAATGCCTGAAAATATCTGATTCTGACTTCACGGTGGCTTTAGCCTTCTTAGCAAATTTATTTTATAGCTCTTAAAGGTTTTAACATTTCCCTCGGTGTTTGAGACATATTTTTATACATATCCCTACTGAAGGTTAATGAGCAAGTCACGGGGATGATAACAATTCCAATTTAAAAATGCTGTCACATTTACTCACTAAAACATAAGTGAAGTGTGGATGTGACCTGGCACTGCTTAATTTCTGCTACAAAAATGGCCATAAAATTACTTTCAACAGCTTGTGCAAAAACAATGTGCAAGTGTTCTAAAGCCAAACAATAGTGGGTTCGGATTCAATACTTTAGTGTTTACTTCAAGTGTGTGGAATTTCCAGACTTTCTCTGCACAATGCCAACAGTAGCAAACAGATGTTGCCTCTAAAGGTTTAGGGCAGAGGTATTCAATTAAAATTCCAAAAGGTCCAGATTGAGAAAATCTCCTCGGGCAAAGGTCCGGAACATTACAATAATATCTAACTTGCGCTATATTTAGTGCCATATATATATATATATATATATTATATTATATTCAAGAAGTCTAGTAGTAGTAACGTGTCTATGTAGTCAACAACTGTCAAATCAAATAAAGAACGTGCACATCAATTATATTTTAACAAATATTATTCTCAGTTTTCAAATTTAACTGGATGGATTATATATAATACATAGAAATACATAAATACATGTTCTCTACTTTCAAGTAAAATAAGAGCTGGATTAAAGAATAACTGACATACAGAAAGCTTTTCAAAAATGTGCATCTTAAAATAAAGTAATTCATTTTAGAAAAATTTATTTCACTGAATTGTCCTGCAGCTTTAAATTCAGTTCATTCAGGTGTGAAGTGATGTCAATCAAAAAAGCCACAATATTATATTTTTCTCATCTTCTAACAAGAGAAATGTTTGTGCATGGACTTTATCTGTGGTTATTAACACTTGTTTCAGCTCTATTCTCTCTGTTAACATCATTGTTGGTCAGTTAATTCATGCGTTAGGATTCTGATCATTTTGGACTCTTAGGTTTATTTTCTGTGACTTCATTCAGATGTGAGTGGGTACGTTTGCTCAAAAGAGTTGTGCTTCGTCTCGTAGTGTCGCTTCATTTACCGCTTTTAATAATCGTCACGGTCTCTGAAAATATGAGACACACTGGTTATAAACTGTCCGTGTGAAGAATTAACCTATAAGAGTCTGTTCATTCTTTGTTAAAGACTCTGGTCTCTTTTTTCTTTTTGGAGAACGTCATGTGAACTTCTCTGACTCACGTATTATTCTCCTGCTCTTCCTTCTCTTTCCTCGTCTCTCCCCCGGTGTGTGTACATATCACTCCAGTCAGGAAACTTGTCAGAATACCCATATTTGATTGGCTGAGCCGCATCACGTGATGTGATTTACAACGCATTGGTCGGTGCGTTTCCTGCACCACTCAACAAGTGCCGTTAAGGCTGAAAAAGTGCCGTAAAGGCTGAAAAAGCTGCGCCGGTTAAAATAGAAGCGCCCTGTCAAAATAAAATCGATTTTAGGTCCTGGGTCCGGATACAACGGCGTCTGGGTCCGCGGTCCGCCAATTGGCGACCCCTGGTTTAGGGCATAATGGTTAGAGCATGCCCGATTGGCATGTAAGTGGTGAATACAAAAAGCAAAACCAAACTGTTAAGCTTTCAGGTGTGTACTCTGTTGATGCAGCACTGGGTATGTGTGTTCCACAAACGAGTATTATAGAAGTTGCCTTTGTTTGAGTGGCTGTTTGTTATTCGGTACTCAGAATATTCATTTACAATTTTGACTTTCAAGACCACCCGATTACTGCAGTGTAATTTGGGCTCTGTGAACATGGAGAAAATGTTCAGTAAATATTGGACTTTTAAACATATCTATTTATTGACTTTTTGAACATTGGATGTACATTTCAATGCAGAGATGAAGTGTTAGGCTTCAGGGCACAACAATTCTCATTTGTGGACAAATGCGCTATTTGAAAAATACATTATCTTATATAGTTTAATCTGCTTACTAAAATGCATGACACAAACCATTATTCTACAGCACATTGTTCCATTGTTGGGTGTCCTCTATCACACTGTTATTCTATATCAATATAAAATGGATAAAATAAGCATACGGGAATGGCTGCTTTGGCTAACCCAGCAAATTAAATACCTGCCAATGTAAGATACTTCAGGGTTCTATGGAATTTAGAGCATTAATATAGCAGCAAACTAATAATTGCTAGATAAAGATATAGTGGAGTAATTTTTACCTGAGCAGAGAATGAAGTCCTTCCTCTGTGCGTTGTTTTTTCAAGTTTGTCTGTACTATGTTGGCAAAGCCAGATGTGTCACGCATGCATTTTAGTGCATGCGAGTCTGTCTGTTGAGCCCCAATGGCTAGCTCATGGCCGCCACTCTGCACTGCGCTCATACGTTATGACGCCGTCTTGACTCTCGCAATCGTCGCGGAACCACTCGCCCTCCGGTTACCCCTCAGGTAAGCACTGTTGCCGTTGTTTGCACTGTTAGCGCTGCTAACACCGTTAGCAATGCGCAGCCTACTCAGCTGCGCCAAGTTAAAAGCCGTACAGAGGCAATACATATAAGCGTAAAGATCCTTCAACCAAATTTATGTAAAACTGTTAGAAATCCACTAATTCCATAAAGCGGTCCTGCTCATTGATTTGCAACTCTGCCTGCAACACCTAATACACCCAGAGATATTAAAAGGCAGGCAGTTGCTACATTATAAACAGTTTGGCAAAATCCCCAGTGGTTGACAAATGTATATTTTCTCATAGGATATATAGTCAAATTGCCTATTATTACACTCCTTATAGTAAAAAGTTTGGTTGTAAAATGTCACCTCATGTTTCCCTGAGAAAGACAGTCCGAGCACATCAGTTGATCCAGCGACTGACCAATAAGTAAATTCCTCTGCCCTGCTGAAACTGACACTGCAGATGATGCAAGCGCCTATTCAGGAGGGGGAAGATAACATGACAAACATCTATTGATCCCTGTAATGCAGGAAACGGCAATCTCATCTTGTAGGTTACCAGACACCCGCCAACACATCGGCCAGGAACATATTAAATATTTAGATTTGATGACCAACAGAAAAAAAGAGGCCTCCAGTGCGAGCCAAGCATGTGTTTGCATGTCATGTCTTTGGACCATGTGGTTACACATTTT